TTTTCATTTGTTTTTCAGATAATTGACAAAGGTATTGAGAGAATTTGATTGATATGCCTCAACTCACATCTCCTATGCAAAAGCAAATTTATTTTGTTTAAAAAAAATTATTTCCCTGCTAAACCCTGGTCTGACTTAACGCCATACTCTCACCATGATATTCCTATGAAATAGAAATGAGATAATGGAATTCACTAGACTTGGAGCAAGTTGTTATCTCCTGGTGATGAGGATTTGGGCAAATGATGCCAAAGGAAGAATTATTATCAATTACTTCTTTCAAGACTGTGCACTGTGCAGTTTTCTCAGTTCAATAAAAGATTAGAACAGGACGCTTGTTTAGAGAATTGTGATTTGATACTGCATCAATATCTTTCTGAGCAATGGTTTTTGTTTTCCTCCACTTTAACTTTTTAAGTCTTGGGAAAATTAGTTGAAAAGCTAGGTCTTTTTGGTGGTTACCAATATTGAGTCCTCTACTCTGTCACTTGAAATCATTAATACCAGAAAATAGTTTCTAATTCCATTGTGAATTATTTTCTAATTCCATTGACAGAATCATTTTTTTTTTAACCTCAAAACCTCTCACTCTTGCAGACTTTCTAACTAATGCGCTCTTGCCAATCAAAGGCATAAGGGGTACTTTGATTGCTCAGTCCTTCTTCTCCAGTTGAACTGATTCCTACAGTGTCTCTGAGCATGTGCACATACGCACACACCACTCTGTAATGCAACTGCTGTTGATTTGCTATCCTCAATTTTGTCTACTACTCTGAATCCTGCTTAGCCTGCAAGCTCTAAATCAAGCAATATTATCCCATGAGTCTTCCTAAAATGCCCCTTCTGTAGATTTTTCATCACACTTGAAGCCTAAAGAATAGCACCCTCAGGGCCAGCAGGTGATGTGGTAGTTAAGGTGATCGACTCCCACATGGGTGACCATGGTCTGAACCCTAAACCTGGCATCTTGAAAAGTACATCCAGCACACATGTGTGCATACCCAAAACCCCAAGAGAAGAATGAAGAAGAGGGGATTGTGGTATGGACACTCCTGGGAGGGTCACTTCTTTCTTTCTCTCTCTCTGTGTCTCTCTCTCTGGTGAGTGCACACAACCTATGGCAAAAAAAAATATTAAAAAACAAACAAACAAACAAACAAGAACAGCACCCTTAGATCCAGGCAAGAGAGGCACTTGACTTGGGTTTCAGGATAGAGAGAGCCCAACTTTAATTCCCCCAAGCCATGGCCCTTGCCTTTGGGCAAAGAGTCCACAGGACTAATGTGATATTCCTCCCTTCTGGACCATGTTCTCAGAACTAGAATCTCTAGCACCAAATAGCTATACATGCATTCTCAGGGAATATGGTTATTTTACCTAGTCTCACCCTCTCGAGAGCAGATAGCATCACATGTGCATGGGCTCCAGGGCCCAAGGTCTAGAGGGCAGCTGTCTGCATATATGGCCTGAGAGGTTCACATACATACACATGGTTCTTCACAGTAGGGGGACAGAGGGAGATGTGGGAAGAAAAGGAGGAGTAGCCAGCACCAGGGGCTGTTCTGACTGTCATGTTGGGTCACTCTGATTACACCACTGGGCCCTTGCATCATGTTCAGGTCCTTAGCCTATTCTCGAGCTGAATTTACCAGTGCTCATGGACTACCCTGAATTGTAAGTATATTTCACTTTAAAGTAATATGCATAATGAGCAGAAAGGGAAAAGTTAATAAGATTAATTTAAAAAGCAGTAAATAAGCATTGTGAGTGGCACTATTGAGAAAGAGAGACTTCTACTCACTCCCAAAAATAACTCTGTGGTATTTTATTATCTCCCTTTAAATGTTAGGAAACAGAGACCAACCCTTTGGCGCACAGTAATAGACTGCTCAAGAGATAGTTAGATCCCAAATGGTGACTTTGGTTCAAATCCCTGGTTCAGTCAGCCTAAAACATACTGGGCATGCCCAGGAGTGCCCAGGATCTGATGGGCTGGAGGACTGGAGTAAGGGATGCAATATCACCAGACATTGTAGAAAGTGCTTGTATCTCTTTCTCATGTATTCTGTCTTGCAAAAAGAAAAAAAGAAAAGAAAAGAAAAAAAAAGAAAAGAAAAGGAACCCAAAGCTCCAAAGCTCCAAAAAGCTGAGTTTGAGAGGTGTTTCATAAGAAAATAAGGACAGTATTTTATGATTCCACAGACTACCCTCTCTTTACCCCACCTACTCACATATCTAACTCAGACACCTTTCTGGAACATTCCTGTCACCACTCTTTAAGGAGTAAGCAATAGATGGATAGTTTCCTGTTTGTAAGTCAAAGGTTAGCATCTGCAAAACTGCTTTAAAGAGTTAGTTTTGCAAAGATGGATGTTCACAAGCTGAGAAATAGATTTTTTTTTTGAGAGGTTTTCACTATAGGGCGCGTGGGCTCATCAGACAGACAGAGACAGAGAGACAGAAAGTGAGAAATCACCCCCCAGGGGGGATGGTCATGTCACAATCCCTTCTCCTCCATTCTCCTCTTGGGATCTTGGGCACGCACACACACACGCCCAGCATGAGTTTTAAGCCACCAGCTCCGGGACGTGAACCACGGTCGACTACGTGGGAATCCAGCGACATAGCCATTACGCTAACTGCTGGTTCCCACAAACTGACAAATAGATTTTTGAAACTTTATGCTATCTGGAAGCATGAAGAGCCACTCCTCCCTGTATTAGCTAATTATTGAAAGAAGGGGGATTGTGTGTATTCTTGTTTGTAGGCAGATGGGGGCTGGGAATTTCAAAAACACACATTTTGACCTTGCCAATCTGAACAACTGAGTTATCAGTTCTTTTTCTTGCTGATAACACAATTTCCCTTATCTACCATGGAACAGATCTTAATAGAGAACTCTCGTTAGAGTGTAAAGCTAATGAATATGAAACTAAACAATGCATATCCCTCTGGTGGACAGGACTTTTTAATAACGGACATTACACTCATCTTTGATGATAAGGTACAGAAATTGCACAGAATTATAGCCCAACCTCCTCCTCTGAGGTGACTGAATCCCAGAAAGCAAGTGACTAAGCAGTCAGAGTGAGATCTAGGGCTAGAATAACCCAGGTTTTCTGTTTGCTCACTCAATATGCTCCTCCTAGAACACAAATTCAACTTAAGTATGAGTAAGCCATTTGTGTGTGTGTGTGTGTGTGTGTGTGTAATTGCCTCGGATACATGTAAGAGAGAAATCACACCCACAAGGGGGTATGGTCACACTGCCATCCCTTCTCCCTTTCTCCATCCAGTAGGGATTTGGGGCATACATGCACACATGTCCTGTGTGTTTCTCAAGTTGTTAGAGACAGGATTAAACCATGGTCAGCCATGTGGATCATAGGTCTCTTCACCACTAGGCTACAAATTGGCCATGTATGCATTTGCAAGTAATAATGAAGTCTAATAAAATGTACTGTCCCCACTTTAGTGGGGATAGTGGGGGCTTGGGAGGGGGTTATTGTGCAAAAGAGAAGGAAATCTAAATATTGGGTCTTGAATAATATAGGGCTCCCTGCCTCACCCAAGGGTATTCCTGTAGGCATTTTGAGGTTTATTGCTTATAAAAGAGCTTCCCAAATATACTCTCACTTGAGAAAAGTAATAATATTAATAAGCTTTTGTTCTGAGGCAAGAATTTAAGTACACAGCACTGCTCCAAGCTATCTTTCTACTACTAGGTTCGAGGGAAATGAGTAAATACTTTAAGAATGTCATGCTTTGTCTGAATCAATAAACCTGAAAGAAGATGACTCAGGAGGTGGGAATTGGAGTGGAAAAAAGTTTTGTATATTCCCAATATTCCAAAATGTGTACAGCTCTATTCAAACATAAGGTAAACAGAGCATGGAATTTACCAGAAAAAAAAAGTAAATAAAATTGGCAATATCACTGTTTCATACTCCAACTATTGATATAATGAATTAAAGAGAATGAAAAAGGAATACTCTTTTAAAAGTGTGTATGTGTGTGTATGTGTGTACATACATATATATACATATACATATGTATATGTATGAGCTTTTAAAATGAAAATAGGAGAAGAATGGCTTTTTTAAAAAATTTGCCCAAGTACAGGTGCACTTGCTGGAGAGAGACAGAGAGAAAGAGAGATCATGCAGCAATTCCTTCTCCCCCATCTGTCCCTTCTTTCAGGGTTTTGGGCATGCACACACAGGTCTGGTATATTTTTCAAGCCACAGGATCTGAAACTCAAACTCTACAGTTAAGTAGGATCTTTAACTCCATGCCTGGGGTGGGCTCAATGTGTGGCATTTTCAAGACAATAAATCATGTAAGATCCTAGAGCAAGACCACAATGCTTTTAAATCCATTCATATAAAGAAATAAGAGGAAATAATATTTAATAATGGTATACATGCTCACTTTATTTCTCTGGAGACATAATTTTATTACAGTGAGGCTTATTGAATTTTATTAGATTTCGCTTGTATTTTTTTTTAAATCTGCAAATAATATAATTTAGGATTTCTATTGTTTTTTTTTTTTAAATCTGCAAATAATATAATTTACCGGTGTACTTAGCTTAATAACATGCTCAGTATGCTTCTCCTTGATTTTAACAGAATCTAGGCCAAATATGTAATGAATCAAACTGTTTAATCTAACTTCATCAGGTATTTCTTGGAGCACACCATACCCATAGTACTGTCTCCCAAAGGCGTCCATTTTTCTTTATTCCTAAAAATCTAAGACCATTTAAAGAAGATATTGACTATAAGTACCTCCCCCTGCAATCCCCCCTGCACACACACACACACACAGGAGTGCGCCCACACGCGTGCCTCTTTTTAAAAGTGAAAACCCAAGCCAATCTAGGCAGGAGGGAAAGAATACGGCTGTTTGCACCTGTGCGGGTTGCCGCAGAGTAATACGGTAACAGCAGGAGATTACGGTACTCGCTGGACTACTGCCAGTGTGACGTCAGCGAGAGCTGCAAAGTTCCTGGCCGTTCTTTTCTAGTGTCGGGAACCTGAATATTAAAAGGCTGATTGTGGAGTTATCGGTTGTCTGTGTGGGCTTTTTCGTTCCTTTTCCTATGTTCATTCTTTATTTTAAAATATCCAGGTAAAGCGATAGCGAGCCAGGAACTTAAAGACATCAGTGGTGAAGGGGTGAGTCAGCGGGTGCAAAACGACTAGCCTTTGGTTCCTTGAAGAGACGGTCCCCTCTTTCCCCCGGAGAAGAGGCGGGGAGTGGCTCCGGGGACAGAAACCTGTCCGCTCCTCCCCGGTGCTCCGGCGGGTGGCTCTGCAAAGACGCTTCAGGTGAGTGCGCCGCGGCGCGGGGCGCGAGCAACCCGCAGGGCCGGGTGGGTGACTGCAGACTTCCCGCGGCCTCCAGTAAGTCCGAACCCCTACTTTCCCCAAGCGCCTCCTGCGTTTTCCGCCTGGTGTAGTACCAGCACCCCTACCCTATTCCCTTTCCCTTAAACATTCTGGGAAGTTACCTTCTAGTTAACAAGTGTCTTTTTAACCCGTTATCTGTCGCCCCGAGGAGAAAGCCGCCGGTTTCTGCAGTGGCTCGTTCTAAGTGCCACCTGTGAGGTCTTGAACTTGTGCTGTTCACGGTAGCCTTGGCAGGGAGATCCTGTCTCAGGGCCCAACCGCAGTAGACAAAGTGGACACATCCCATGCCCGCCACTCCCGCCAGAGTCCCGTGGTCACTGCAGTTGTGGAAACCTAGGTTTCTTAACCCAGATCGTGATCCCCAGCCCAGAGAACCTGAGTCCCCCGTCCGCTGGCACGCAGGTTTGATTTATTCGCATACTAAAAATCCGCAGTGACTGCCACTTGCAAAGCCCCTTCTGCAAAGTGATGCCCCCTCATCCCGTTTCCAAGCAGTTCCGGCGCAGCTCGTTACTTAAGCCCCTAGGGCCTGGAGAGACATCTCGGAACCACCTGGGTCGCGTTCAGCCCTCGAGACCTTCCCTGGCTCTGCTTGGGACCTGCTCTCAGGCTCACTTGGCTTGTCACTGATCGGCGTGCTCTGCACACCCAAGTGTGAAGTTCTCGGCCCTGAGCGTGTGCGTGGCACTGGCTCTGCGGCCCCGGGTCTCAGTGGCTCCCTCTCCCAGGCCGCCCCCTCCAGGTGACCGCGAAACAACCTGTTCAAATGGCAACCGGGTAGCTCCACGGAATTCCACTCCCTAGGCCGAGTGCAGCACGCGCCAGCTGCAGACGCGCCCCGGGCTTTGGGATTTAATTTCGGAGTGTCGACGTTAGCAATCAGGCCACGCGGAACTGCAGCTTAGCGTATTTTAGTTTTCTTCTTTGTTTTTATTTATCGTTTATCTATCTATCTATCTATCTATCTATCTATCTATCTATCTATCTATCTATTTATTTATTTTAATGTAGGGGAGTTTGCTTGGAATCTTGCACTCAGGCAGCGCGGCTGAGCGCGCGAGGGGAGGTACCCAGCCGCGGGGGTCTGGGGACGCCGTGCGCGGTGCCCTCCCGTGTTGCCTCGGTCGCGGCCGGGCAATGCTGCTCTTGGACCGCAGAGTCGGCCGGGTTCCCTACTGGGGTCCGATTGCTGGTCAAATCCGGCACGGCCTCTCTCCCCAGGGCGCCTGGCTAACAGCCCGGCTTCCTCCTTGCGCTCTTTCAGGAGGACGCTACACCATCAACTGGGTCTCCGCAAGTATTTCACACCCTCGTTCCCGGCTGGCGTGTCTAAGAGCTGGAGCTACCAAGAGTCTGGGACAGCCCTGAATGTGGGTAACGGCGGGACCCGGGCAGCGTCCAAATGCCAGCGGTTGCTGTCTTTGAGCATCGACGGCTGATCCACGCTTGCCTATGGTTTGCGGGGAGACTGGCGCTGGATGTTTGAATTCCAAATTGCTTGCAGAATGCTGAATCTTCTCCCCAGCAGGACGAACCACACCGTGCAGACAAGTGGGCTCCTGTAATGCTGGGAGTGCATTCTGCAACGTGTCTCTTCCAGGACCTTAATGCGGAGCCTCGGGTAGGAAGGGAGCTGGGGCCCTGGGCCAGCGCGGTGGGTGAAAAGAATCTGCGAGCATCCCCGCGCGCCCCTGGCCATGTCACCTTTAATGCCTTGCTCCTTCGCGTGGCATTCTAAGGGTTCCCTGGGCTGGCCGGGGTTGTTTCCCACCCGCGCGTTCTCTCTCCGCCCCATCGAAACCCAGCCGGCAGGGCTCTCCTGAGCGGAGACCTTTGGATCAGCTGCTCCCTCGCTCCCGCCCCCGCCCCCGCCCGGGGGTGGCCCAGGAGAGCCGGACCTCACCCAGCCCGGCTGGGACCATGGTGTTTCTTTCCGGAAATGCTTCTGACAGCTCTAACTGCACCCACCCCTCGGCACCTGTGAACATATCCAAGGCCATTCTGCTCGGGGTGATTCTGGGGGGGCTCATTCTTTTCGGGGTGCTGGGGAATATCCTAGTGATCCTTTCGGTGGCTTGTCACCGGCATCTACACTCGGTCACTCACTACTATATCGTCAACCTCGCCGTGGCAGACCTTCTGCTCACCTCCACCGTGCTGCCCTTCTCAGCGATCTTCGAGGTCCTGGGCTACTGGGCCTTCGGCAGGGTCTTCTGCAATATCTGGGCGGCGGTGGACGTCCTGTGCTGCACCGCGTCCATCATGGGCCTCTGCATCATCTCCATCGACCGCTACATCGGCGTGAGCTACCCGTTGCGCTACCCCACCATCGTCACCCAGAGGAGGGGTCTCATGGCTCTGCTTTGCGTCTGGGTGCTTTCCCTCGTCATCTCCATCGGGCCCCTGTTCGGCTGGAGGCAACCGGCGCCGGAAGACGAGACCATCTGCCAGATCAACGAGGAACCCGGCTACGTGCTCTTCTCGGCGCTGGGCTCCTTCTACGTGCCCCTGGCCATCATTCTGGTCATGTACTGCCGGGTCTACGTGGTGGCCAAGAGGGAGAGTCGGGGCCTCAAGTCAGGCCTCAAGACCGACAAGTCAGACTCAGAGCAAGTGACGCTCCGCATCCATCGGAAAAATGTCCCGGTAGAAGGCAGCGGGATGGCCAGCGCCAAGAACAAGACGCATTTCTCCGTGAGGCTCCTCAAGTTTTCCCGGGAGAAGAAAGCGGCCAAAACGCTGGGCATCGTGGTCGGCTGCTTCGTCCTCTGCTGGCTGCCTTTTTTCTTAGTGATGCCCATTGGTAAGTCTTTACAACTCATCTTAGACACAAGAGTCTTCCCTCCCTTCCCTTCTACAACCCTAGACTTCCTGGGAGGGAAGGGAAGATCAGCATCTCAAAGCAAAGCTGTGGGGTTAGTTAGCAAATCACACCCCTCACCACCACCACCACCAGGGCCAGAGAAAGATGACTAGAACAGTCATCTCTATCGTTTATATTATAGATCCTGGATCACTTTTTCCATTACTGTGAAGGGCTTCTGACAGTTGCAAATTAATTGGCTTCCTTTATAAGGATGTCAACTTTTCTTAATGCCTTTAAAGATGGTTTAATTTAAATACTACGCATGTCCTTTTTTGCAAGCCTCAGTCTTCAAGTATTTAGTCAGACTGTGGGATGTTACTTCCACTCTGCTACCAAATGCAAATTCTCTTGGCCTGAAAAGAAGCACCTTGCTTATTCTAGACAAATGTGTGACTTTATTATTGTATTAGAATATTCATAAGGGATAGTTAAAATGGTTAAAAAGGATCTGCTTATGTTCTACTTATGTGTTAATTTTATATTCTGGATTGATTATGGAAGGAAGTCTGGTAAGTCCCTGAGACAAAAAATGTGTTCATGTGCAAACCAATTTAAGCCTTAAAGAATTCATAGAACGTCTCAAATACGTAAACAGTTATTCCCTTATTTTAATAGTAACTATTAAAACAAACACTTCTCTTGTTCAAAATCGTCTAGGAAGTTGTAGTTGCCACTGTTTGAAAATAATACAGTAATGTTACAAATCCAATTTTTGCAGGTGCTAAATTAACTGTTGTCAAAACTAATTAGCTCACTATAAGTATCAGCAGGCTGATCCTCCTGAAAGTCATCTACTCTGAAAGGCTTTCAGTGAGATCCCCAAGTGGTTGGTTGCTATTTTTAGTATATAACTTCCACCTTAGACCTACAAATTGGTTATCCACTAACTCTAAAAAAAAAAAAAAGAAAGAAAAAGTCATGGTAGAAGTTAATAAAGCCCATTTCAGGTGCTTTTGAGCCAACTTAAATAGCATGTATTAATTTGCAACTCTATGTAATAATAACAGGTTTTGGGGTTTTTTTTTATGAGAGCTACATAAATTCCAGACATTTTACCAGGCTTTGTATGTCATTAGACTTCTCACCAACTCAATGAGATATGCATTACTATCCTGCAGTCACGAATGAGGGAAAGGGGTCCTTCAGGTTCTAATATCGTAGCCATCACCCACATGTAGCCACTCAAATATGAATTTTTAAATTAATATTTAGCTCTTCAGTCCCATTAGCCACATTTCAAGTGCTCAGTAGCCAGTTGTGGCCAGTGGTTTTTGTTTCGGGCTGTAGAGATATATTAGATCTTCTGGAAAGTCATGATACATTTTTGCACAGGAAAACACATCATGACTTTTGTGACCACCTAATAGATCCTTTCTATCATTGCATGATGTCTGTCCAGCAGGACTGCTTGAGGGTCTCTTCTCAGTCCACCACTTGGCCTTCCACTGGACCTACACATTATTACTTTCTCTGCTCCTGGAAGTACATTCCAGTTTCAAATTTATTAAAATAACACATTGCCTGAGCCATGACCGGCTTACCTACCTTCCTTCATCCTATCTCTCACCGCCTCTTGAACTTGGCATGTTTATTCATGTAGCTGCTCACTTGACAAGTATTTATTGAGAACTTATCTAGACACTTGGGATGAACAAGGCAGAAAAGTCCTTGCCAATGAGATGTTTGTATTTCTTTGGAGGACATAGATATAAACCAATAAATATATTCTAAAAAGTCAAGCACTCATATATACTATGAAAGTCAACCTGAGACCTAGCTGCAGATGGTGTCACTGTGCAGAACTGGAGCCACATGGGAAGGCCCCATGTCCAGATCCCAAGCTGATCCAGTTATGTCAGGCATGCCTGTAGATACTCCATGATCTTTCTGGCTGGAAGGCTAAGGCTAAGGAGTTGTGGCATGCTAAGATTCTGTCATGAGTACATCTCAATAACAATAATTATTATTATAATTATAAACCCTTTTTTAAAAAAACAGTCAAGAGGATAAAGAGTGATGAGTTTGATGGAGTGAGTGGTTAGGAAGGTCTTCTCTGGAAAGGTGATATGTGAGCAGACACCTGATGGAAGTGAGGTATCTTACAAGCTTTGCAAGATCTGGGAGGAATAGCTTTCTGTACCGAGAGAACAGCAAGTACAAAGACAGGAAAGAAACTGGTCTGATCAAGGCAGAGCAAGGGGCGTAGGGCAAGGGGGCAGCCATGATGGCTCAGCAGTAACACAACACTCCACAATGCTGGGGCTGTATGGGAAGGTCCCTTGTTCATGTCCCATGGTTTCCCTGTGTACATCAGGTAGTGATTTTGGTTGGCTTGAGCTGGAGGTTGGATCATGGTGTGAGAACCCTGTTTAGAGGTCCCTCTCTTCCTCTCTCTCTCCCTGTCTCCCTTACTTATAAAATAAATTAAAAATAATAATATACTTTAAAAAACATAGGTCCAGTGGCTGTGGCACAGCTGTAACACAAGTGCCCTGCCAGGCTGGAAGCCATATGGCAATTATAGGTTCAGATCCTTGGTTGACCTGAAACCACACTGGTCATGCACATGGGCCCTGAGCAGCTGGAGGGCTGGGGAAAGGGGTCATGGAGTGATGAGAAGCTGTCAAGGGTACTCCTCTCACATGCACACATATATCTGCATTACTATTAAAAAGAAAAAAGGAAGAGCAAGGGAACCAATATGGCTGAACATTAGACAACAAGGGGGAAGACAAATTCAAAAAGAGTTTGGGGGGATAGAGGGAGTCAAAGTCATGTGGGGCCTTACAGGCCAAAGTAAAATTTGTATATTATTCTAATTATGATGAGGGAGGGTTTTTAGCAGGTGAACGACCAGCCTTTTTAATGTAGTTTTTCATTTTTAAAATTTAATTATTGTACGTCTTTATGGCATACAATATGGTTTTTCAAAGCATAAATGCAGCGATGTCAATCAAGTTAAAGATATTACATCATTCTCAACAGAAAACTTTCTTTTCCTGTGCCTATCAAATTATTTTTTCCTGAACCCCTTCCTCCTACTCTATTTATCCCTACTTTCTTATAGTCTCTGGTATCTACCCTGCCATCCTTGCTATTTTTTTTTAAGCTTTTGTCAAAGAGCATATGCATTCACCAGAGAGAGACAGAGATAAACGAGAGAGAAAGTAAGAAATCACCCATCCAGGGGGATGGCTATGCCACAGTCCTTTTTCCTCTATTCTCCTCCAAATCCTCCTGGAATTATGGGCATGCATGCATGCATATACGCCCAGTGTGATTTTCAGGCTATTAGGTATGAGACTCCAGCTGCAATAGGCCATGTGAGAGTCCAGTCCTGTAGCCACTACACCACCTGCTGGTCCCACCATCTCTGCTATTTTATCTTCCAGTCTTTCAGTTTCTACCATAAAGTACAGATATTCTGGTTGGTGGGTGGTTGTTTGGGGATGAGAACAGAAGTAGAGAGAGCAGGAGACAAGCAGATAGTGTAATGGCTACATCACTGGACTCTCATGTAGCTGATAATGGTTCAAGTCCCAGACCCAGTGGCTTGAACTCACGTCGGACACGTATGCGTGCATGCCCAAGAACCCCAGAGGAGAATGGAGGAGAAGAGATTGTGGCATGGCCATCCCCCTTAGTGGGTGATTTCTCACTTTCTGTCTCTCTCTGTCTTTCTGGCAAGTGCGCAAGCCCTCTAGCAGAAAACTCTCAAAAAACAAACAACAACAACAACAAAAGAAGTAGAGAGAACAGTTATGAGGCTGCTAGAGAAGTTGAGGGAGAGTAGATATAATACCTCGAACTCAGAACAGGTGTAGGTGGTGAAAAGTGACCACATGCAGCCCTAATTTCAAAGACAGCTGAAAAATTGGACACAAAATGTGAGAAAAAGGGAGGAATTCAGGATAATTGTCAGGTGAGGAGTCTGAACTACTAGATAAGTAGTATGTTTTACTGTGACTGGGAAGCCAGAGGAACATACCAACATTTTTATAGCCACAGCAATGAAAGAAAGGTAGAGAAAGCAAAGGGAGATAAGCGAGCCTTGGAGCATGTGATGCTTAGATGTCACGATAAGGAAGAAAACCAGCAAAAAGAGACTGAGAAGGAAAGGCCTGGGAAGTAGGAGGAAAATCAAGAGAGCCTGGTGTCCCCAAGCCCAATCTGTGGGCCACAATTTCCTTTGACCTCAAGCGATTGAGACTATGCCTTCCAGGGTGTAGTGACTGTAAGTACAAGGCACTGAGTTAGAATGAAAAATTAAAAAGCACATTCCCTTGTCTTCAAGAGCCTCAGAATCCTGTTAAGGAGAACGATTAGTGTAAGTCTGTGTAATTGATGCTGAAAGTAGCTTATGATGAGTTTCTGAGGAACATAGCAGTTAACTGTGTCTGGAGCTCACTGCGGATGCTTCCAAAAGTATTGCTTGTCTAAGCAGATACTTAAATAAGATGGCACTATTTTTGCTGGGCTATCAGTAAGATGTTGTTTGTTTTTATTAACTATCTGAAGTACATTTTCCATGCAAATTGTGAACAGAAGAATAAGTATGTGCAATAAGTATTATACACAAGAACCAAAAAGCTCTTAAGTATAACAAGCGGTCTCTTGGGCAGAAGAGGTTATCAGTTTGTGCTAGGCTGCCAGAGACCACAGGGATGAAACGCTACAACCAGGCAGAGATGAACGTGGCATCCAGAGTAGAGAGTTGAAGTGCCCGTGTTCAGTAGGAACCAGTCCAGGAAAATCAGATGACTAGATATGATTTTGGCTGCAGTTCCTTTTCTCGGCTATGAGCAGACTTTGTCTCCTGGCTTCCACACTTACCTTTCCCCCACCCATTCCCCACTAAGGCTGAATAGTGTAAGTGCAGACAGGACTCTGATTTGCCTGCTCCCAAGTCTCAAATTTGCTAGTCTTGTTTCTGTTTT